AGTACTCTTTGGTATATACAGCTAGTTAGATATAGTCCCACTTCAGTAAGGTAGTTTATCACATGCCAGACATTAAATATGCATAGGTCTCATCTAACTTGCACCATGAGTGCCTAAATGCAAAATTGTAAACTTTAAAACCTTTTAGGCGCCTACCACCTAACCCTTGAGACACCTAATGTCTCTGTGTGTCTAATATTAAACATTAAAATGCACTAATTGATTCAACTTCTGCTTTAGAGTTTGCCCAGAAATTCCTCAGTCTTAATTATGTGAAGTGTACTGATGCTTAATCTAATCTGTATGCCCTATCAAGATTTACAAACTATGCATTCCTGTACTTGGCTCATCTGAATTGCTTGATCCAATAGTTATTCTCAGAAGAAGCCTAACAGCCTACAAATAAAACAGCCTGAGGTGATGCATCTCTTTCTTTCTGGTAACTCAGCAGTTAAGTCACTTACTCAAGATGTGGGAGACCTAGGTGTAATTCTTTTCTCTACCAAAGGGAATTCACACTCATACCTTCCACCTCATAGGAAATTATCCTAACTAGCAGCTGTAAGTAGAATGACCATAAGGAGGTTTGGGACAACCAGGACTTTCATCCCTGATATCCAGGACACAACACTCACCCCCCACTCTTACAAGCTGTCAGGGAGCTGGGCTGCCTTCTGGGCAGGCAGCCATGCCTGCCTGCTGCTTGCATGCTGGGCAGCACCCATGGGCAACTGGTGCCTCTTGAGTCAGGGGAGACACATGCTCCCCCTGACACCAGTCAGTGACTGAGGGGCGCCCCCGGTGGCCGATTCCACTGATCGGGGGGGGTGTCCCCCTGCGGCCAAATTGCAGTGACCGAGGGGGCAGGGGGTCCCCTGTGGCCAATCGCATTCATGGTTGCTGGCGGCCCCACTCCCTGGTGCTTGCAGGGGGGTATCCGCACTCCTGCCTTCCCCCCTGCCTGCCAGCTAAACAGGGAGCACGGCCTGACAGACGGTGCACCGGTGCTGTCAGGGTGTGCATCTGCTATGCGTCCTCGCTGGTCACACTACTCGGACTCCCTGCCCTGCATCCCTGCATTTCTGGGACACCCACTATAAGTCTTCTGAGTCAGCCGGGACCAGCCTCTTAAATCTGGGACTCTCCCAGCTAAACCAGAACTTATGGTCACCCTGGCTAGGGACAGACATTCAAAAAGCCCGAGCCTAAATTGATTTAATCTTTGCAAGTTAGTCTAACCTGCAGAGACTGAACCAATTTGCAAGTGAATAGACATTTACTTTTGATTCAGGAAATGCAAGCACATGCCTGCAGTGGCTCAGGCTAGAATCTGGGGGCACTAGAGCAGCCCTCCTTTCACTTACACATTGCTGAGCTGAGGGAGGGTGTGGCCAGGCCCTGGCAGGACCCTATGATTAGGGAGGGGTTTGAACCTCCACCTGGGCCTGCACAGTCCCCAGCTGGGGTGTGCCTGAAGAGGGAGAGGGAAGCAGCCAGGCTTTTTCCCACTTGCTGCTCAATGTGTGGGAGTGTTGCCAGACCCTGGCCCAGGGTTAGCACTTGGAGGCAAAGAGAGGGGGGTGTTGGGAGGGAGGACTGCTTGTGTGGAGTGCATGCACCTGTTTATGATACTGAACTTTTCAATCTCCTTCTTCCTGCTTCTTCATACTGTCTGCAGCAAATTGATGGAACTCAGGTCCCATGCATTGCAAACCAGGTCATTTCTCACACCTCTCCTTGTCCCCTCTTGAACACTGACAGATTGCAGACGTTGAAGCAAGCCAGCAGCCAACAGAACATAAAGCTTGTCAGCCCATCAAGAAAACAAAAGCCTTTCTCTCATTAGTTCAAGCTCTTCATAAACAATTCCAAAGCATTTATAATGAAGAACAGAGGAATGCTACCAACTGACCTGTTGATTAGCTCCAAACAACTCCTAAGGGGACACTGTTTTGTCAGCCTTTATTCCAGTGAAATTGGAGACATGCACATAGCCACCTCTCAGCTAGCATGGAGGTTGTGTGGCCAAATGCTGGCTGGGGTCCATGCTGCTAGGGTCCCTGCTGTGGGAGAGGAGGGAATCCCTAATTGAGCAGCAAGCTGTGAGGTGAGGGGTGGGACAAGGGGAAGCCAGGCAGATGCTGCTGTACCTCTAGTCTCCACCTCCTCAGCCAGCCAGAGCTCCTGCTAAGGAGGAGAATGATAGGGCCTGCTCTGCTCTCTGGAGCAGACAGCCCAGCCAAGCCCAGGGCTGAAAAGCATGCTGGGATGCTCGGGGACTCTGATTTAACTTAAATCAGTAAAGGGTCTGGGACAGAAATTCCATTAACTGGTATGACCCTAATCAGTTAAGTCTGATACTACATTCAACCAATTTTATCTTAAATCAGTTTCAGCCATCTTGGAACTGGTTTATGTGCATTGAACTTCTTTTCTGATACAGGTTTAAACCAGTTTCTGATCACTTTAACTGGTTTATGTGCAACTTCAGTGTAACTTCACAGCCTGGTACTTACTGTGGATACTTCCACATGCCCTATAGGGAACCCAGGCACCTAACTCATAGCTGGAGATTCTGTGACAAAGTGTGGGTACATAACAATTAGGCACTACAATGCTCAACATTTCAACACTGCATCCTTTGTAGATCTAGGTCCTAGTGACTTGTCCGTAAAAACTTAGATAAACTGCTGTTATTCTATATAGTTATCTGACATTTGAATGGACAATCACCTGAAAAAAATGTTATGTTAAATGTATGGATATTTGCTGTATAATGGATTTTATCATGATGGGTCTGAAAGAAAATTTTAAAGCCTAATTGACCTAGCTAAGAGGACTTCAAATATTAAAGCCAGGTTTTGTAGTAGTCTGATTTTCAATGAGAGTTTAACCAGATTTTATTTACTGTTAGTACTTATTAGTACTATTTAATTCATGGACAAGCAATGAAAAGAACCAGGATAGATAAGTGCTAGTATATTACATATTTCATTTTCTTTAAAATAATACATAGTTAGCCTTATTCAATATCTAGCACACACAAAAATACAAATACAAATTGTACTTTGTGAAATATTTTCTGGAACATTCTTTTAACATTTCATTTGATTTTCAGGATTCCGGAATTTGCACATTGATGATCAGATAACCCTCATCCAGTACTCTTGGATGAGTCTAATGGTGTTTGCATTGGGATGGAGATCATATAAGCATGTCAGTGGTCAGATGTTATATTTTGCACCTGATTTGATACTAAATGAGTAAGTTGGCACTTTCTGCTATTTACTAATATGAAGATGAAATACTCACCCTACAGAAGTCAATAAGAAAGTTATTTTAGTGGTGACAGAATTTCACTCAACATTTTTATGGTGTTGTTGCATTATGTGCTGTTATGTTGTGTTCAAATTTAGATAAGAATCTGATCCTATCAAAGATCAATCACCTCAGGATTGTAAAAGGATCCTAAATATTCCATTAATATGGCTATCTTCTGTAGACCCAGATGTAAAGAAATTTTGGTGGTGTTTTCTTTAGACAAGGGAAAAAATTTAAAAAATAAATCTGTTGTTAAACCACCCCACCACCCCTCCCCACCATAACATAATTCCCCCTAAATTAGTCTAAATGCAATTATCAGGGCACAAGAGTGAGAGGAGGGTTTTGTAATTGTTTGTTGGGTGGGGAAGAGAGGGATTAATAATTTGCTCATTAGAAATAGTTTTGGTGAGGTCATATTTGGTTTTGAAAACTTCATTTTTTGTGAGAAAAATATTTGCAAGTTCTCCCTGCTCCCAGCCCAAAGAATCTCTCTCTCTCTCTCTCTCTCACTCACACTCACACTCACACACAAAATGTTAAAGGTACCTAAAGTCTACAGATTCATAAACTTTGGCCAATAAAGTTCAGTAGGAGCCTAAGGATCTTCTCCTGGGCATGTTCTAAATTTCTTATGTCATGACGGTTCTAAGCAGTTAGGCTTCTAGCCCATGTCAAAGCATGGGACCGAGAAATTAAAATAAAAAGAATGTTGCTGCTGACTTATGAGAAAAGGCTCTGGTGCCTAGCTTCAGTTGATGGCTGGGGGGTGGGAGGGATGGGGTTAAGGCACAACCCTCTATTGAAGCATTTTATGTTAGTTTTCTTATGTGGCTTACCATGATAGCGGTTAGGTACCTAATTCCTCATGCAGTAAAGAGGAATCTGATGTTGCTATGCTAGGGCTATGAATTCTACAAAGTGTCACAATACTGAGCACTGTAATTCTATGACTTCATGTGGATCAGGCCCAAGGATGCGGATCTTACTCTGCTGCCCCTTGTGCCCATGTGGAGTCCCCTTGAAATTAATAGGACTCCACAGAATCACTGGGCTCATGCATCAGGATCCCCAGCTAAAATCTTGGCCCCATTGAATTCAGGGTCAGAACTCTCAATAGGGCTATAGTTTCACCCCATGGATTTACATTAGCCACTGGGAATTCTAAGCACAAGATTTGGAGAACTGATATAGTACATTGCTTTTTACTACATTAAAAGTTAGCCCTGATCTTCATCTGCATCAGTGTCTAAGTGGCATTTTGCAACCAAACTGTCACTTCCACTGTTCAACTAGAGTTACTAGTCCTAGTGCTACTCTAATGGATGCACAGAGCAGCACCAGCCTTAGACTAGGAAATGAGCCAGGAGCTGTTAGTTTCTAGATTAATTCTAAAATTGCTTTTTAACAATCACTACTGGAATTTATTCTGTGTATATCTGCTAATACCAAAAAATACAGCCAAAACCATCGTCATACTAATGCTTATAAAACATGGTCATCCATACATGATGCTTTAATACATGCATTCTTATTTCAAATATGAAAGATTAAAAATATAGATTAAAATAGAGATGAAAGGAATCAATATCCTAACATAGCAAAATATCTAAAATTATACATTTAACTAATTTAAAGGTGAGTGCAGTGTTTCAGATTTTGAACACACCTGAAGGAGTTTTTCATTTAAATTAAAATGAAAGTATTTAATATATTGAGACAAAGTTGTTTATCATAGAAAATACTATGTTGTTAAGAGTGCATTTAGCTAGGATGGAATTATTTGGGGTGAAATTCTATCTCCTTTTAAGTTGATAGCAAGCCTCACTGATGGCATCAGAGCCATAATTTACTTCATATTTAGTAATCTATTTTTTTTAAATAAGGTGATGCTTTGTAAAATTAGCTTGTGCTATTGAAAAATTAAATTAATAGACTAACATTAATATTGTTCATTTTAATGCAGGTACTGGCAGGGTATCTTCACTGAATTTTTGTAAACTGGTACATGCAAAAATATGTACTGTATTTTCTCACATTCATACACTCTGGAATGTAATACCCACCTTTTTACTGGAAGAGAGAATGAAGAAAAAATGTTTTTCTAGCATTGCAGTTGCATAGAACAGGGACAGAGCTGAATTTTCAGCCGATTCACTCTC